TCCGGACGCTGTAAGAGGTTCTCTTTCATCTTCTTTTAATAAGCGAAGGCATCAAACGCAGAAAACCACAGAGAAGAGCCTCTAAGAGACGACCGCTCACACCGCCGATGGTCTTAGCCATCTATTTTTATTAGCACGATTGCACCGGGGGCCCCGGCACGCACCTTCTCCTTCTTCTGCTTGGCGGCCTCCTCGGCGGCGGTCAGGGCCTTGAAGTAGCTGCTGCGCTCGGCCGTGAAGTGCACCTTGGAGAGGGCGTGCTCCACCAGGGCCACCGAGAGGTTGTTGCCCTCCACGTGCAGCCAGCCGATGAAGTTCCCGGCCTTGTCCATGCTCTCCACCTCCACCTCCACCTGCGGGGAGAAGCACACCGAGAAAAGGGGGAATGGTCAGCGAGCCCTCCAGGAAAAGGGGGAAGCGGAGGGGGCAGAGAAGAGGCCCCTCCCTCCCGGCCGATGGCGTCAGGACAGGCGCACGGGCTCGGCGCTTCCAGGGACCCCAGCAGAGATGGACGTGGGGGTGTGTGTGCATGCAGCAGGGGAGAGGAGAACACTCACACACAGAGAGAGAGAGGCTCCTCGGGCACCCCCTCCCTTTCCAGGCAGCAGCCGCCCCCCACCCCCACCGACACAAGCGCAGGGCGAGGGAGGGAGGCCACGACTAGGACCCCTCCCCCACCGCCAACGGCAGCAGCACTTGAGCAAATGCAAAATCAATGCGCCATCCAATCCCCATGATCGAGCAGCGCACGACTTTGCTTCGGGGCTGCCCTTGCTGGGCGGGCAGCACAGACATCGATCCCTGTTCTGAACGTGTCGCGCGGCGGGCAAATGCCAGGCAGGGGAGGGGAGGGGGGAGGGGGCATGCGAGGGCCCTGGCCGCAGGCCCTGGAGCAGGCGAGCGAGGCCCCCGCCCACAGCAGGGGTCAGCCCCTTGGGGCGAGAGGGCACCGCCACGGCCAGAGAGCGGAGCTGAAGTCTTGTGAGGACACCTCAACCCAAGCTCTCTCCCCTGAGGGGGAGGGAGGGGGGAGAGACAAATTGGGAGAGAGAGAGAGAGAGAGAGAGAGACACTATCACTCAGTGGTGATATAAAGGACAATGTGTAAATTCTAGCAGAAGCTCTCCCCCCCGGTGCCTCGGAAGGGAAGAGCCAGCCCGAGGAGCCTTGGTCAAGCTGCGCAGTCCTGGGTTTGACCCAGGAGAAAAGGAAGGGTCAGCCACGTCTCTGAACTCCCTCCCTGGAAAGGGTCGCCCTAGGTTAGAATTGACACAATGGGACATGATGGTGATGATGATTAAAGCTGGCTAGATCGCTCGGCGGGGTTCGATTCCCCCCACGGTGTGCCTCCTGGGGAAAGAGCCAGCCTGGGTGGCCCCCCCATGGTGTGCCTCCTGGGGAAAGAGCCAGCCAAGGGGAAACCCCTTCCGAGTCTTCTCTACCTTGGTCAGGATCCCGCAGGGTGGGGTCAGGATCCCTACCCTTTCCAGGGTAGGGAGTTCAGAGACGTGGCTGACCCTTCTGAGTAGACATGGTCTTGGGGGGGGGGTAAAAATCCAGTCAATCAATAAATAAAATAAATACCTGGAAAAGCCTGGAAAGGTTTGGCTACTAGACAGCACAGGGTGAGGATGATCATTCTAACTTGGGGGGGGGGGGAAGGGAGCCCTTCCATTTCTTGGGGAGAGGAGGGGCTCGAGGGCTTCCAGCAGTGTCCAAGGGCATCCCTGGGGGCCCTGTTGTGCAGAGGAGGGGGGGGCTGATGCTCCTGATGCCAACCCTCCCAAAGGCGAGGCGGGGGCCCTTCCTTCCAGAGACGGCCAGCCCAGCCCCCCCCCACCGCCTCCCCGCCTCCCTTGGCAAGGCTGCAGTTCGGGAGGTGCCTGCTCTGAGGCCATAAAACGCCTCCCCTCGTGACCGCAAACACTCCTGTAAGCTGCTTCAGGCTCAATTAGGCATCAGAATGGATGCCTAAATATGCCTCAGGAGGCTGAGGCGCCTTGAGCTCCTCCAAGGGGGGGGGGAGTCTTCCCCAAGCCCAGATCTTGGAAGGGAGAGGCAAGGGCTAAAACCAACTCTGTGGAGGAGGCACCCCCTCCCCTCCCCTCCCCTCCCCAAGAGACAGCCACGTGCCTGCCAGGTGGCACCAGCCACCCAACAACGCGGGGTGAGGGCAGGCCACCTCCCAGCCACGCCCACACCAGCGACTCCCCCCCCAAGAAGGGCAGGCCGAGAGACGGCCAAGAAAACAGAAACGCCAGGTGCCTGTCGAGTGGATCGGGACGCGAATTCAAGGGCGTTCTTCTCGGAAGGAGGGTCGGCAGTTGGGTAGGGGCACCCCAGTGGCCATGGGTGCCAACCCCCCTGCAATCCCAAAAGGAAGGTCAAGTGACAGCCAAGCTGTAGGTCAGGCGTCCCTTGGAAAATAGCGCGGCCTCAGGGTGGGTGGGAAGGCACTCCGTCTCTGCCCCCCCAAAATAAGCTGGACGTTGAGGAATTCTCCCTCTGGACAACAGAAGGAAAGACCCCCCCCCCAGAAGAAGGACGCCTAGCCTTGAGCGGTTGCATCAGGACCCTTCATGGGGGGAGGGGGGGTTGAACAGCCACCTGCACCATCTCAAGCCCCCTCAGAGTCTCCTAGGGGTGGCCCTAGCAGGTCCCCCAGTCAAGCAGGGCCAACGGCAGCTCCCTGGCTGGCTTCCCTCTCCGCTTCCCAGATGAATTCCAGGAAGCAGCTGGCGCGAATCCCTGGAGAGGAACTGAGGATGGGCACAGCAAGGGGTCCAGGATGGCGCACAACATGCCTCCCCCCCAAGTTGAAGCGCTTCCCCCCCTCCTGCCATGGGATTGCCACCCACAGGCTGCCAGGGCTCTATCCAGCCCTTGGCCCCTGCCCTTGCCCCCGGGTCTCCTCCCTCGGCCACACTGGGGCTTCCTGCAAGACGCCCATTTCCGAACACAAAAGGGGGCAGGACTCCCTCACGGGCAGAATCCCTGGGCACCAGGCTACCTCTCCTCCTCCTCCCCCCCCCACAAAGCATACATGCACACGCACACATACACACACACACACACAGGCAACCGCCCAGCAGAGGGCAAGGCACAGTGGCCAGCTCTGGGAGAGGCCAGGGAGGAAGGAGGGAAGAGCCATCAGGGAGGGGGATCCTCTTGGTCTTCTTCCGGAAGGGAAGGGCGTCGTCGTCAGGATCTGCTCAACCAGATCCTGACCAAGGATGGCTATGCGGCAGCGGCTGAGCCTGAACTCCCTTCTTCTGCTCCTGCTCCGCCCTCTTGCAAAAAGGCCTTTGATGCAAAAGGCAAAGCACCCAAAGGCCAAGAGGGTGGCTGGTTCCCACGTCTTTGGAGCCAGGTGGAGAGGGACACCCAAGGAGAATTAATCACCCAGGAGGGGTCCTCTCCCAGGACCAATAAACCTGGGCGCGATTAGCCCCAACCACCAGGACTGCGGGTCTCCTCATCCTTCAGCCCCTTTCCCCCCAACTCCAGCTCCAGCCTGCCACCCCTACAGAAGATGAGAACGTCAGTTTGGAAAACTGTGGGGAGGGTAGCCATGTGACAAAAGACAGTCAATGCCCCCAAAGCAGCTTCCTTAAGGTAATGGATGCAATGCATTAAAAAAAACAAAAAAAAAAAACAAACCCCCTTAGCAGCAGCCTTGAAAATGCACCCTGGATGCATTCTCAGTTCTACTGTATGGCATGAACTTTAATGCAGGCTGTGAAAAACAGGACAGAAGCATTTGGAGTGGGGATTTATTGAAGGCTGCTAAACATTTGTGGGAAAGAAGAATTTAAGGCCAAGAAATCATAAAATGTATGATGAAGACAAACAAATCATAAAATGCAGAAAACTCTGTTAAGATTAGAAATGTGTATGTGCAGAATGTTGAAATAAATCTAGGAGGGTTCTGAAAAAGTAACCCTGAAAATGAAAGTGTTTTAAAAACCAAGGCTTGAATGATAATTGACTATAGTCATTTGTAAACAATTAGCCAGCCGAGCAAGGTGACTGGACAAAAAATAATCCCCGAGAACTGTTTATGTCGGAAAGAGACCAGAATTATTCGGGCAGGGAGGCCGACATTTAAAAGCCACACTTGTCATGCAGACCAACAGGTTGACTGATGGAAATGGTCTAATGAGAGAAACCGACCCACTCCAGACATGAGTGGTTTTAAAAAAGCAGTCTTCCCTCCTAATTCTCCGTTTCCTTTCCAGACCCATGTGTCCCCCGGTTTCCCCTCCTCCTGGGATCCTGTCACCTCCTTGTCTCTTCCGTCCTCCCCCCCACCCCCACAAGCCTGGTAGGTTGAGCATTACCAGCAATGAGAGGAAACGCCTTGTGTGTCTCTCTGTCTGTGTATGGGGTGTGTGTGTGTGTGGATGTCCAAGGCCACCAGGGCCTCAGGGAGATGGGACCTGCTTGGGTCTGGTGCCTTTGAGCACTCATGGGGCTAAAGCAAAGGCCAGGGCAGAAGCCCCTCCTTACAGATCAAAGGGTGAAGTCGCCCCTTGGAAAGCTCAGAAGCCGCAGCCCACAGCTCCACAGCAAACTTGGGTGAGCCCCACGCTGCCAGCCACTGGGATCCCTGGGCATGGCTGGCTACGGACATGGGCCCCAATCCCTGATTCTCAGCTTACAAAGAGGGGCCTGCCCCAGAGTCTGCTATGCTGCACCAGCACGCATGGAGCCGGAAAAGCGCTCTGTGTGCTTCCAGAGCTGAGCAGGAACAAGAGACAGAAAAGCCACAATGGAAAAGCCAGGATAGAGAGGGCGAGGAGGGGGAGGGGAGGCAGCCTGGACAGCTTGGGGGAGGGAAGGGGGCACACGGGGGGCACCCTGCTCCAGGGAGAGCCAGTGCAAGGGAGTCGTGGTTGCACCCCTGGAGACTGAGGTTCGGATCCCACCCACTCCCGGACATAATGCTCATTGGGTGACCTTGGGCCAGTCATGACATCTCATCCTGATCTACCCGATAGGGCTGTTGTAGGTGGGGAAGAAGAAGAGAGTCTCAAGCAGACTGGAGGAGAAGTGGGGTAGACACAGGACCAAGAAACCGGCCTCCCACCAGGATGGAGCTGTGGCTGTTTGCCACCAGCCCAGGAAAAGAGAGGCTCAAGTCTGCCCCCACCCCCACCCCCACCCCGCTTCGGCCGACCTGAGGATCTAGTCTAGACCTCCTGCAGCCCAGCCCAGCCCAGGCATGGCCCAGTTCGTTCCTAGTAGCCACATCTGGGCAAAGAAGCCGTCAAGCTGGAGGACGGGTTGACAGGACTCGCTAGGTAAGCGCACGGCCGGCCCCTGCCTGTCACACTCCCCTTTGGGGTGGTCT